TCTGGGTGCAAAACGAGGACTTCAGACAATTGTAGTGTGTGTAAGTTTAAAGGAAAAGCTAAGCTGCACTCAATATGAGCCGGTGCAGTTTTAACAGAAGAATCTCATTCACCGTATAGGTAAAGCCAAAAGCAAGTAAGAAAGAGGTCCCTGGCTTTCTAGAGGCGCGGTTTCTCAGTAACTTGTTCAGATGAAACATGTCTGGCCAAATTCACACATTGGAACACAGCTAGCTTAAGTTCTACAGCTCTATGGCTTCCTTCACCTTCTCTTTCTCATGCGGGATGTTGCTTCACCTCGAGGCAATTGCAATCGCCAGACCTAGGTATTATTTACATCTTTTTCATAGAGTCTGTTTGTCTTTTCCATAAATTATTCACTATAACACTTCCTAAACATTGCGTAATTGAGTCAGACAAACTGAGAACCAGCCAGTCATCCCAAAAGTATAGCCGGATCGTTGTTCGTTTGCATGAGCAACAATGCCGGCAAACAGACATTCCCAACGAAGATCTAGACTAGGCCCTGGCTGTATGGACGTATAAAAGCGTGCCACCTGGAATTACTTTGGCAAGTTGGACCACAGCAATTTTCCAGCAAGAACACCTCATCCTCCCAGATCTACCAAAATGAGCAGGATACAAAGAAGCTGCGGCCGCCAGCAAACAGCCACAGCATCCATCATGAACCGAAGTATACCTACCCACTCTTGTCGAAAAATGTTGATCCGGGGAAAGACTCCGCTAACCGTGTTCGGCATGCCTCTTTGCAGCCTCCATACTCAGGCACCAACTAGGCGGTCAGCATGCTCGCCCCGGGGAAAAGGTACAGCCATGAGCGATTCACCAACTGATCGCAATCCTTGGCCTATATCGCAGTACTCTATATTTTGGGGGCGTCAATGGAGGTCCTCATACAATTCGACCTATAATCCCGAGAAATGTGCTCTCGAAGACCTTTATATAACGGCAATATTCACTGAAACTAGAACAGTACAATGCGCGCATGGCATGCGACTCCAATAACCCCGATTCATTGACCTCTTATTGAAGCCCCCCACCCTACCCACCGACAAGGGTTCTAGCAACCCCAGCCGTGCATACACTCTATATTACTGGCGACCTCACACTCGCGCTGCCGTTCACTTCCTTGCTTTCACACATAGCTATAATCCCTGTCGATTTCCTGTTGCAAAATGGCCTCCCTCGCAGAAGATGACGACGATCGCGATCTTGCCGGTAGAGACCCCCTCCTCCCTCCCATGACCTCTTTCAGCAGCAGTCGACTAACACATTTCCGCGACAATAGGCTCCCAAGACGGCAGCTCCGACAATGAGATGGACGATACGCTCCGAGATGCAGACGACGGGGTCAACGACAACGAAGCGGACGCCGACGCCGAAGACGCCGACCCCGATGCGGAAAGCCAGTCCAACGTGTCCGAGAGCGCGGGGGTCGCGACGCAACAGAATCAGGACGTGGAGATGACGTCGCCGGGGGCCGCGAACGTTGCGTCTCCGGTATCTGTATACCACCCTCCGGTGCGACCGGAGTGCCTCACGGCCTCGACGTTCGACATCGTCCCCACGACGGCGGCCCCGCACAGCACCTCGATCAACGCGGTAACGGCCACGGCGGATATGCGATGGGTGTTTAGCGGGGGCTCGGACGGATACGTGCGGAAATTCAACTGGGTGGACTCGATCAACAGCAAGCTGATGCTCACGGTCGCGCAGCGGCACCCGTTCGTGGACAGCGTGATCAAGGCCGGCGTGCTGATGACCTACTGGGAGAACATGGATGGGAACACGATATCGCCGGTCTACTCGCTGGCGTGCCAGAGTGAGGGACTGTGGCTGTTGTCCGGTCAGGAGTCGGGCAACATCCGCCTGCAGTCCGTCCGCCACGAGGAGGGCAAGGAGATCGCTCTCCTGCGGCAGCACACCTCGGCCGTCTCGGTGCTGACCCTGACCTCCGACGAGAAGTCCCTGCTGTCCGGCAGCTGGGACAAGCGGCTCTTTGACTGGGATCTGAACACCGGACAGACGCGCCGCGCGTTCGGGTCGACCGCGGGGCAGATTTCGGCGATCGAGATGCGCCCGGAGTCCAGCCTCCCTGTGCCGAAGGATATCATCGAGCCGCCGCAGCCGAACGGCACGTACTCGTCGAACTACCAGGCGGCAGGGGGGGAGAATAGCTTCGGATCCATGGACACGTCCAACGACCAAGGCGAGAATGACGCTGACCCGGACCCGCAGGCGGGCTCGCCAGCGGACTCGCTCTTTGGCGGCGCCGACTCTCTGTTCGGCGACGGCGACGGGCCCGGCGGTGACGAGGCGGGCGGATCAGGCAACGCATTCGGCATTGATGAAGATGACGAGTTTGGCAAAGCACTCACTAACGGAGTGCCTCCGGAGGCCGATGCCCCCGGCGAGCCGGAGACGAGCCACAATGAAGTGGCAGAAGCAGCAGCACCACCCCCCCCAGCGCCCGCGGATGCCGTCCCCGCGCCCCCCGACCCCAACGCCATGGACCAGGCGCCGGATTCGACCGACCCCGTCCCGCCCAACGGCGCTCCCGCGCCGGTCGTCAACGGCCTGCCTCACGCGGAGGAGATCGAGCCGACCGCACAGAGCACTGCATTCAGCGAGCCGGCACAACCCGAGCACACGCCCAGCAACGACAACACTTTCCTGGGGGCGTCGATCGACGGCACGATCCGCATCTGGGATCGACGGCAGCCGGACCCGGTGGCGCGGATCATCCCGCGCAATGCTCCTCCGTGGTGTATGAATGCGTGCTGGTCCCCGGACGGGAACTACATCTACGCGGGACGGCGTAATGGGACCGTGGAGGAATACAGTCTCCACAAGGGACTGAGGGATCCGGAGCGGACGTTCAAGTTCCCGCAGGGCAGTGGGCCGGTGACGGCGCTGAGGGCGATGCCCAATGGCCGGCATATTGTCTGGTAGGTTTGGTCTGGTGATGTGCAGAAGAATCAAGCTGACTGATACGATGCAGTGCATCTCATGATATCCTTCGCCTGTACGATCTGAAGCATGAGCAGGTGACCCGACACTCGACGGTGCCTTTCCTCATCATCCCGGGACATCGGACGGGTACGGTGTCGCAGCTGTACATCGACCAGGCGTGTCGGTTTATGGTGTCGACGAGTGGGAACCGGGGATGGGAGGGGAACACGACGGAGGTCTTGTTGGGATATGAGATCGGGGTGCCTCGGTGATGCCTCGGATGTTTGGCGCGGTGTCTTCATTAGGGGGTAGCGTAGTAGGCGGTCCCAGCTGCGTACCATTAAACAACGTCACCCTATATTACCTACAGGCCATGGATATGGTACATCAACGACCACAACAGTGACTACCTGACCCTCTGGCCTTCAAATCTACAGCTTCGTTCCCAAACCCACCGCCAGAATAGAGTGTTAATCTATAGCATCAATTCTCATTACAACTCATATACAACACCCACACACCGAATACACACCCCAAACCCCAAAATCATAAATCATAACCATCATCATAGAAAAACCGCCTATAAACTCCAACCAAAGCAAACGAACTCAATCATAAAACCCCTCAAACTCCACCCCCGGACAAACCCCCTCCACCCCCCGCCTCCACGCCCCATACAACGCATTCCCCTCCCACCTCACCCTCCCATCCTCCTCCGTCTCAAAGACCACATACCCCGCCTGTTCCCCAACCCCAGCATCAACATCAGTATCACCCTCCGCAACAACCCCCCTAACCAACCCCCCAACTTCCCGCCGCATGACATGCCCCCTCGCCTCGACCTGCCCCACACTCCCCACCCGATTGACGGTGACCAGATACGCCCCGCCGCCCGGCAAGACGCTCTCCCTCTCCGGACGCAACGGCACCGCCATCCACGCGGGGTTATTGTACGAGTCCGGGCGGGCGGGATCGTGCTTGCCGGGGAGCGGGTGGGAGAGCAGCACGGCGTCGAGATTGGGGACGGAGGTGACGAGGCCCGGGGTCTGCAGGTAGAGGACGCTGTCGTAGGAGACGAATTGCATCTGGCCGTGGCGGAGGAGGTGGGCGTCTGTGGTTTGGTGGCCTGTGTCGATGGGGAGGAGCCAGATGCTGTTGGCTAGGGCGGCGGTGCGGAGGTGGGTTAGGGCTTTGGTTATGGTTGTGTGTTTGGTGTCGGTGTCGGTGGTATCGGGGGGGCTGGAGGGGTTGGAGGGGTTGGAGGGGGTGTACAGCTGGTCCCATTCGCGCGGGTACATGAAGAGACGGTCTTGGATGCGGGTGCGGTTGCTTGGGTCGGTTGCTGCGGTCAGGGAGTGGAAGAAGAGGATCGCGCTGCAGATGTGGCTTGGGTCGGGGCGGGTGAGGAGCTGGAGGTAGGCGTAGGTGCCTTCTGCTGCGGGGGTGGGGTCTTGGTTTGGCGGGGTTATGGGCTGTTGTTGTTGTTGCTGGTTTGGTGGGGTGTTGAGGAGGATGGATTGGTCCTCGTTGTGACGGGGTAGGGATAGCTCTGGTGCGCGGATGGCATGTTGGATGTTGCGGACCGATTGTTGCTGGAGGACGTAGCCGGACAGGAAGAGGAGGAAGGTGAAGGTGCAGATGATGCCGGAGGAGATGATCACCGAGACGGTGGAGGAGGTCAGGAGGACCATTGCGATTGCGATTGCGATTGCGATTGCGATTGCGATGTCAACCACATGGGCTGGAGGTATGTACAGTACAATATGAAGTATGAAGGAAGTATGCTTGTTGATAATGATAATGCGGGGGAGGAATGGTAGCGTATGTACCGGAATGTGTATGCAGTCAAGAAAAGAAAAGATAGAGTTATGAATAACCTTCCACCAGGCACATCCCTCTTCCCACTAAGTGGTAGTAGTAGGACCCATAATCATTGCCTCATCCTTGATAGAATCATCGGCCCATAATATAAACACCGACTTAGCCCATGTTTCAGACGAAGAGTGATTTCGTTGTCCGCGCGACAATCGATAAGAAAGAGGGCTTGGCAGAGGGAGCTGGTGCCAAGAACGAACTCCAAACGCCTTCACCTAACTTTCCACTCCCCTCCCTCTCTTCTTCTTCTTACCTTACGCCGCCGCATCCTATCCTTTTCCTTTCCCTCCCCCCTCATCTTGACCTTCTCCAAAACATATAAAAAAAAAAAAAGAAAATGACCCACCGCGCCGACGCATCCTCCTTCCTCGACAACCGAGGCTACACCGGCCCCCTCATCCGCGGCGTCAACCCGGCGACGCTCTTCGAGAAGGCGGTCCGCGACCGCATCACCGACTCCTACTATTGGAAGGAGCAATGCTTCGGTCTGAACGCGGCCACCCTGTGTGACCGCGCCGTCGACCTCACCTGCATCGGCGGCGTGTACGGCGTGGCCGAGAAGCCCACCCCGTTCCTGTGTCTCGCCTTCAAGCTCCTCCAGCTCAACCCGGACCGCGACATCATCCTCGAGTATCTGAACTTCACCGATCCCGACACCGAAGATCCCCCGACCTACAACAATCCGAACGGGAACAACGGCGGGAATAACGACGAGAACAGCGATGGAAGTGACGCGGTCGTCAAAGCGCGGGGCGACTTCAAGTACCTCCGCGCGCTGGCGGCGTTCTACGTGCGGCTGACCTTCCCCGCAGCGGACGTCTACAAGACCCTCGAGCCGCTGCTGCTGGACTACCGGAAGCTGAAGCGCCGGGTGCGCGACTCGTTCACCCTGACGTACGTGGATCAGTTTGTCGATGAGCTGTTGACCAAGGATCGTGTCTGTGGTACGAGTCTGTGGAAGTTGCCGCCGCGGCAGCAGTTGGAGGATTTGGAGTTATTGGACGAGCGGGTGAGTCCGTTGCAGGCGGAGTTGGATGAGATGGAGAGGAGTGATGACGAGGACGACAAAGAGGAGGGTGAGGAGAATGATGATTGAGGCAGACCTTGGCAGTTTGCGAGTTGTGCTGTCATCGATGGATGCATTGATGCGCACGAAGGAAAGAGAAAGCTTCACGCGCCTGGCTGGCTCCTGCAGGCTAAGTCGGCTGGCAGCCCCCTGGACTCGTATACGTCACCAACTGGGTGCTCCGCGTTCCGGGAATGTCCTGACAACCCAGCCTGTGGCCTAGGTGCATACCCTGTGTCAGAGGCAGGAGATGGTATCGACCCTGTACCTTATGATCTGGCCGTGACGTTGCGTCGGGTGAGATGCATCGCAAAACCCTACGATCTACACATTTGGAAGAAGCGCAAGTCTGAGCACTCGCTGGTCCTCGACTCGACTACTTTGCTTCAGAATCAGCCAGCAGGGAGACTAATCTCAGCACCAGCTTCAGCCTTCGACCAGGGAAGATACAAGTTGATGGGCAACCAGAGATACCTAAGTCTTAGTCTCACCTAGATCCCAACCTAAACAAAGAGAACCACCATCAATACACAAAAGCCACCCAGCTTAATCACCAGATAACCACGAGAATACTCTAAAACCCCTGCTGCCGATGCCACTTGTCCTGCCACCCCTTAAACCACGGACTCTCTTCCAGAGTCGCCACCTCCCAACCTTTAGGAACCAACCCACTCTCCTCCTGCTCTTGGGCCCATTTCTCCAGATTCGGCAAGACCACATGCTCTACATGCCACGTCCCCTTGTACTCCATCAGATTCTTCTTCCCGTGTTTCAGGACCGTCGCCGCGAGCGCCGGCACGCCCGGCTCGTCGCGGAACTCGGTGACGGGGGTGAACAGCGCCTTGAAGTTGAAGACCACGGCCGCCGACAGCGGCAGCCGCCGCAGCGTCTGCCAGTCGACGCGGAGGTTGCAGTCCTCCAGCTTGAGGGCCGGGTCCTGGGACAGCCGCAGCACCTCGTGCGGATCGCCCTGGGGCATGTACAGGGGTTCGCCCACCTCCAGACCCCAGGACCCGCGCTGAATAGGCTTGTCGGCGGGCATCTTGGTGAAGAACCTGTCCGGATATCAACATTAGCCGCATCCCAACACACGTTTCACCCCCATCCCAATGAAACGGGATACCCACCGATCCATCGAAAACCGCATCTTCTCCTTATAGTCTGGAATCGTCTCATGGATCTCATGCAGCTGCATCCCGATCTTCTTGCCGACATTCCACCCCAGCGAGGAGCACACGACGCCGGCCCGCAGGAAGTAGTACCCCGTGGTCTCGTCGCGCAGCATGATGCCGAAGTCCTCGGGAATGTGGTCGATGAGCACCTCGAGCGGGTGGCGGGCGGCGGTGACGTCCTGCGAGACGCCGAGGATGCGGTTGTGGAAGATGCGCCGGTCCTCGAGGGCGAAGTACTGCGGGTAGCGCGCGCACACGAACTGCAGCACCATCTCCATCAGCTCCTTGCAGGCCAGCTCGGAGCCCGGCAGGGCGCCCAGCACGCCGCTGCCGTGCTGCGCGTACAGGGCGCGGCGCTGCGCGATGCGCGCGCGGTAGGTGCTCTCGAGCTCGATCCACCAGTCGGTTTCCATCTTCGTGAGGGCTGCCCCCGTATGGAGGAATGGTTAGCGTCGCCTCTTGTCCGTAGGGCTGGAGGGGAAACCTACACATGGTCTGATGGTAAGCCCAGCGGAACGGGCGATAGGGCCGGGGCCGGGCCCGGTCGATGTCGAAACCCCGGTACGGCTGGGGCAGGGGCACGCCGCTGAGGGTCGCGTAGTCCGGGAAGTCGCCGAGGGCTTTGAGCTCAGCGACCGAGAAGCCCGTCGAGGTGTAGCGCCGGTCCGGGCTCGTGCGGTAGTCGGCCGTCATCGGCAGCATATGCCGCTTGATCTCCTCCTCGTCGATGTCCTGGTAGGGGACGGCGAGCGGGAGCGCGGCCAGCGCCTGCCGGCGCGGCGGCGGGAGCGCGTCCACGTAGGACGGTCCCCCGTTCGCGGCGGCTTGTTTCTCGTTCGACGCCGGCGAGGACGGCCGTGTGCTGATCGGCGATCGGGCGTAGCTGCGCAGTCGCTGCATTATTGAAGTGCTGCTGCGGCCTTGCAGTCTATTCACCGCAAGATATACCCCCGACAGAACGACCATGAAGAGGCCGAGCAGCCATACGTTGCTTCGGTCAAACATTGTTTCCATAGCTCCAACCCCGTCTCATCGGTGTTGTTTCAATAAATCGGCGCTAGACTCCAGACTTTCCCGGCCTTGTGTATCGCTATCTTGCTATGTCGACAGCGTAGACAGCGTAGAGGGTAGACAGCGCAGCCAAGCTTGACAGGGTAAACAGATTGCCAGATACCAAATCCGGACGCACCGACATTATAAAGGCAACCCCATCACCCCATCATAGGGACACAAAAAGATCCACCACCGACCTCATATCACCGCGAAAGGGAAGCGGGGGGAGGGAGGGGGGATATGTATGTATGTAACAAGCGACTCGTTTCGATCTACCGTTTTCGGTCTGAGGCTCGGAGGAGGGGGGGGGGGGGGGGGGTTGGTGATCAGCATGCAAAGGGCTTTTTACTGTGTTGGGTGCGCGAACGCAGAGATGATAAGGGAGCAGCACATCCATGACATGCAGCTTAGTTTGGTCCGGTCCGGTCTGGTTTGATAGGGAGAGTGCCCATTGCCCAGTGGTGGATTTTCCCTGTGCAGGATGGTCGAGACACCAGGGCATGCAACCCGCGGCTGATTGGAGCGTGGGGATGTAGAGAATGAGATGATTTGCTGGCTGGGCTTTATCTAGGTATCAGTCTCTCGTCTCTGGATGGATGTACTGCTTATCAGCTGCAGCTGCAGCTTCACTGCGAGACAGCAGCTCCATGCAGTGACTTGCTGGCTCAACGCACTTTGCATCTATCTATCCCTCCATCTGAGAAAGACGGAGATGGCGAAGTGCAGCTACCTCTCCAAGGTCTTGGGTAGTCTCCTTCCGCCTCGACTTACATCGTAACTGGATTCGAGCATGTCAAGGTAGAGATACAGACACTACGGAGTACGGAGTAAACAGCTTCGATATCCAACCAAGCTCGGTTGTTATCACGGCGGGATGCGGGGGACCTCTGGCCGCAAGATAGGTACGGTACAGTTCATGCAGGACAGTATCTCCTCGACCGCAGCTGACCGCTATCCGGGCCCGAGGACAGGATACCACTTTTGTCGGAATGGCACAGAGTGCAGTGCAGCGCATTGCAGTGGTTGGTAGGGTGGTAGGGTGGTGCCAGTCTGGATCAATTGGACCGAAGAGGCAAAAACTGAGGCGACACTCTGCATTTCCTGGAAGGGTAAAGCTGTCCCGGGGGTGGTCGTGGTGGTCATGTGTTACTTTGGTTGCTGATTGGTGCATGCATCTGTACAGTCCGGAGCGTGCATCCAGAGTGTATATATACCATGTAGCATGGCATGGCATGGCATGGCATAGTATATTTTGATAAAGGGTGATCGCAGACTCGTCCAGCTAGAAAGAAGTCGGTAGAATTGTACTATGTGTGTCCTCACATTCCACAGGAAGCAACCACCACCACTACAACCCCTCCACCGCCCCCAGACAACCTAGACACCATTCCCCAGCCCTCAAAGCACATAACATACACCAGACAACATTAAAAGAATCAACTTCCTTAAGCAACACCACCCACCCCCAGCCTACTCCAAATCCTCTAC